ACTTTATTTCATTTGATTATCTATTTTGTGTAACATGTCTGTATATAATGTAACATCATCATAATTTATGCACCTATGTCAGTAAAATGTATTTTTCCCTTTGTCCTTTCCTGTTTTTGCGGAGACCATGCGTCATTGAAATGATAAGGAATTTTAAACCAATTCGAATAACTGTTATTTTGTTGGGACAAACGACTACAAAACTATTTCCAAAAGTTCAAGGCGAGTTTTCGTTTAGTCATCATCTGTTAATTCCCGGTGTTAGATGTGTACATATGTTTTAGAGAAGGATTGATTTTCGAATGTATTCGTTGAACTAGCGATGCCATAATGGCACACCACAAAGTACAATCTCCACGGTACGATTACCTCCGTCCACGTGAACATCATGTCACAAACAGTGAACAACTCTTTCAATTGTGTCTTCTTCACCAGCAGTGAACGTCATAGAATATACACATTGATCACTAAAATCATTAATTACTTGTTCTGTTATTATTAAATTTGATCTGCTTATACAATGTCTTAATGTCTATTATTGATTATTGACAGAATGGGAATATGTTGTTTTAGATAATCGTTCTGTTTACTATGGAACCAAGGAGAAAATAATGTTTGGAACAATATTGTATTTTACAACTGCTTTTAATACGATATTTACTTGTTCTTAATGAGGTGGTCCATATCAAGCTCAAGTAAATAAGACGTACTGTGTCTTTAGAGCCATTATGGATTACAGATTTAGATTACAGAATGTTGAAATTCTGTATTTACCTATGAATATAAAATCGATGTCCTATATTTGGGTGAAATAACATTAAATACTAAAACTACTTTAAGTCTTCCTCAATGAGGCATTGGTCTTCAGACAATGATTGTGTAGAGATGTCTCTGATAAGATGGCATTCCTGATAAGAAAGAAAATACTGGTCGATGACGGATTATATCGGTGAAAGATAGTAGGCTATGACACGACTATAGTCTGTTTGTAGTGAAAACGTACCGATGAATTTCACTTTAAACAAGAAAGAAAATCAAATAAAGTGAAATTAAGATTGCGAATCCTCATAATTTTACCTTGCCAATTGAACATTTAAATTTTATTCAACTTAGGATAAAAGTTGTTAACAAACGATCATAGATTCAAATCGCTATTGTTGGTTTGTATTACAAGGGGTTAAGTGCAGTAGTTGGAACACTGAAACAAATGCACGTGTGGTACGTGATGAGCGTTAACTTAGACCAACTCTACTTGTTCTCGGTGTTTCATTTAATGTGCACACACCCTTGTAATACAAACCAATATTAACGATTTGAAACTAAGATCATTTGTTAAACAACTTTTATCCTAAGTTGAATAAAATTCTGATATTTAAATGTTCAGTTGGCAAAAGAGGTAAAATATGGGGATTCGCAATTCTTGTTTAAAGTGAAATTCATCGGTACGTTTTCACTGCAAACAGACTATAGAAATTCTTAGCATGAATTACGAAGACTCATCACTATGCGCTTTTTCACAGTCTGTTACTGACAGGGGCGGTGGGGTAGCCTAGTGGTTAATGCGTTCGCTCGTCACGCCGAAGACCCGGGTTCGATTCCCCACATGGGTACAATGTGTGGAGCCCATTTCCGTTATTGCTGGAATATTGCTAAAAACGGCGTAAAACTCACTCACTCGCTGTTACTGGCATTCCTCCATAATGTCGTATATCTTCTATACCTATTTCGTTATTACTTGCGTTCATGAATATACTCAGCGGCAATAGAAACGTCAGTACGAATTCAAAATTGGATAGGCACTGTAATCAAATCATTACAGAAATGGACATAAGAAGCGGATCAAAAACATTTTTGTGTACAATTTCTTGACACATCAATGAATAACTCAGCACAATTCCAAGACATTACGTGAACGTTTGCAGTCTATTCAGACTCTTGACTTCAGTAATTTAGTGTGACAACCACGAGCGGCAATAACTGCAGCACAGCGTCTATGCATGGAGTGCACCAATCGATTGATGAAGGCCATTGGCACCCTGAATCACACTCTGAGAAAGGCCTGGCGCAATAAATCGGCTGTGTTCGGCCTTGGTATGACATTATTCAGTCTCCTCTGAATTTCATCCCAAAGATGTTCAACTGGGTTTAAATCAGGACTAAGGGCTTGCCACTGCATAATGTTGACACCGTTCTGCTGTAGGAAGTCCCGTGTAGCTCTGGCAGTATGGGCCCGGGCGTTATCATGCTGGAAAATGTTGTTCCGGTGACGTGCGAAATGTGGTATGACGTGGGGTCTGAGAGCTTGATCGATGTAGCGCACCGCTGTGATGCCGCCTCCTCTCCCTGGACCAAGGTTCTGGAACACCACAGGACCCACTCTCTGGTTCAGGTCTATTCAACCCCATACCATATGCTTGCACCTCCCCATGAGTCTCTTTTCATAACACATTGGCCACGCTGGCCACGTCGTCGCCATATTCTTGTTCTGCCATCTGCAGTTGATACGCAGTACCGACTCTCATCTGTGAACAGAACAGTTCTCCATTGCCTGTATCGCCAGTTTTGGTGTTGTAGGGCGAACTGTAGACGTTCACGCCGATGAGGAGGGGTGAGGATAGGTCCCCGGTAAGGTCAACGGCAATGGAGGTTCCCGCTGTTAAGACGTCGGCGTACTCTTACGTGTTGATAATAACGCAAGGAACAGAAACTTTGAATAGCAAGCTTGGCAGCTCGGATTTCAAGTTTATGTGTGTCTGTTGCTCCTCTGCTGACCAGCCTCCCCCAGTTGTTTGCCCTTCGCACGCCCCTCCCCAGCCGGTGAGGGACGCATCGGAAGATAACTCGATCTCTGGGTCAGGGGTATAAACAGGGTTTGGTAGCTTCCCTATGTTGTTTATCCACCAATTTAATTCAGGAATAAACAAAGAAGGCATATCAACTCTAGCATCAAAATTCCCTTTATGTATGCCTAAAAGTCTATTCTTCTCAATTTCCATGCGTTTATAGTGTAACCAGTTTGCTTCAAATAAGGCCATTTTAGGCGATACAGGGCGTTATCCTCTTTTTATTCTCAGCCAAGTTAGAGTGGTTAAATATTGGTGTAAATTACTAAAGATGGAACGACAACGATATCCTTATCAATGCTATAATTTATTACAAACTCTTGATGATAATGGTAAGACCAGTTGTAACTGGGTTTCAAATGTTAGATCTTTGCTATTTACTTGTGGGTATTCTTTTGTTTGGATCGCGCAAATCTTTGGCGATGAAGAGTTATTTCTATTTTCATTAAAACAAAGGTTACAAGATATGTATTATCAAACCTGGCACAATAGTATTTCATCTTCATCCTTTTTATGTCTTTATGATTCGATTAAGTCAGCTATAGAACCAGAGAAATATTTAACATCATTAGAAAATAAGGATTTGATAAGAGTCATGTGTAAATTTAGACTTTCCCTACACAATTTTAATGTCAATTTTTCAAGAAGATATAAACAAGACGATATTGTCCTACTTAAATGTGCAAACTGGTGGCAAAATTGGGTTTTATTGAAGATGAATTCCATGTATTATTAGTTTGTGATACATATAAAGATCTGAGAGAGAAATATTTTCCACACATTAAACATGTCCATAAAGACAATATGTTAATGGTAAATTTATTAAACTCTCAAAATCCTCTTGTTATACATGCAGTTGCAACATAGTTAAAACATATATTTATTGCTAGATAACTATTTCAATTTGTGCTCACGTGACATTAAAAATACATTATATATTAACTGTAAAATGGGCCATAAGGCCGTATATTACCGAATAAAGTGTCTGTCTGTCTGACTAAGCACATTTTTATTTCTCAAAGTCAAACAGTTTTGTTTAAAGCTTTACCTCAATTCAAGGGACCAGAGCTCATGAGACATGCAACCCGTGAAGGTCCAGGTTAGAATATTGATCTTCAGTAACCCATGCTTGTCGTAAGAGGCGACTAACGGGATCGAGTGGTCAGGCTCGCTGACTTGGTTGACACATATCATCGTATCCTAGTTGCGTAGATCGATGCTCATGGTGTTGATCACTTGGTTGACTGGTCCAGACTCGATTACTGACAGACCACCGCCATATATCTGGAATATTACTGAGTACGGCGTAAAACTAAACTCACTCACTCACTTACTCTGCTACAGATACCCGTGACTGCGTGCTCACGGATTTAACTTTCCCTGTCAGTACGGAGTCTACGGACACACTGAGTTGATTATCTGTGTTATTCTCTAAAATACCTAAAGATAAGGCTTAAAAATATTGTTGAGCTTTATTTTGAATGTAGAAAATGAAAAACTGTTGAATATCTTTACTTGCAAGATCTTTATGAATATTTCATTATGGCATATGTACATTACTTTTGGGTTGATCCCACTAATGTTTTGCAGGACATTTTTAGTTATGCTAAGTAAATATATAGGTAAAGACTGTTATGTTATTTTATCGCATCCTAATGTGGAGGACATTTTTAGGCGCTATATAAAAGACTGGACAATTATCAATATTAATATAAACCATTTTAAATAAATTGGGGCATTTTGCAGTTTTATGCAAAAGGTAAAGACTGTAATATTTTATCGATCAATAAGAAATTAATTGTTTGGCAAAAGTGTAATACATTCGAATTTAGAAAAGTATAAAACTTTATGGATGAAAACTTCTCTATTTGTTTTTAGATACATTCGATTTTAGAAGAAAAGAAAACATTTATTGATATACATTCGGCATAAAACATGTGGCATAGGCTACAGTTCTTTCTTTTGTTGTTTTATTGCCGATGTGACGTTAAATATTAATTCACTCACTCATTTGTTGTTTCGAGCATATTTCATACAAAAGATTTATCTGATAGCGAACATTTAAACTGTTGCTACTTCAAAGTACACGATTGTCAAGCGAATGCTGACAAAATGAGATGATGCGAGTTACCTCCCTTTTGTTGTTCTCCGTTCACATGAGACAGTAACTTCCGATCGTACGAAAGATGAAAAGTCTGAAAATTCATGAGGTTTGTTCATAATTTTGAGGTTTTAGTGCATTGAAATTCCAAATCATATCAATGTGATCAACATGTAACAGTGAATAGGTTAAAGACAGCTTACTGTCAATATGACCATTGTGTTCGACAGCCGCGAGTGATGTTTGACATCAGTCAGATGATCGGCTGCTAGATATGTTATTGATGCTGTCAGTAGATCTATCTAGCAGCCGACACGTTTCGCTAACTGACTCAGGTTGTGGCTCTCACGCCTTCCCTTCCCCTCGGTCCTGGGCCATGGTTAGTTTTTAGGTAGAGGACAGTCAGTAAGGGGAACTTGGCCTGTGAGAATAGTGCACTTTAATGAAGTAGCTGAGGAAGAAATACGTTTTGTTTACTAGTACAATGCCGCCCGGTAATTCCGCGCACCTAAACACATCGATCGCAACACGGCAACTAACGTCTCTTATTTTTGTGGTTTACGTGACTAAACATGCTGGTATGCATCATATTTACCTAGAAATATAAGTTTTATTGACGACTATAAGATTCTAACGTTGCATTATGCCATACGGTTGACTTTACCGGCGTTCTGACGACATCGCTTGCTGTCCGGTAATTCTGCGCAGCAACTGATCCAGTTGACATCCAGTTGGAGATCCGAAGTATGGAAGCGTATTAGGGCCAGATTATTTTCAAAAATCACTTCATCAATGTAAGGAAGAGTGTTTCATATTAAATCCAATTATGAATAATGAAGAAAAAGGTTTAAAAGTCTGAAGAAAACGAATTTTCATAAAACTGTCAATTTATCTGTCAATTACTGTTATTTACTTACCTTTAGTGATTAAAAGCCAGTCCCTTGTAGAAATTTCAAGCGTAAATGTGGTAGCAGACGATGTATACCTCGATATGGAAGTACGCTATTGCAGCTGCGCAGAATTACCGGACACTCGGAAACACCGGACTCGCTTGTATATTTTTACCAGATTCTTGATTCTGAGCAGCAGAATGTTTGTAAAAATGGGGGTTGAAGTGTTGTGTCACATTCATGAGGTAATCACACTTTTATGACAAGTAGTGCATGACGATGTTAAACAAACATCAACAGTGTACATGACCTGACAGTCGAAACTTATTCAGTCAGTTAGGAAATAAGCCAGTATTTGGGGTAAAAGATATGTATGAACTTTTTGTGATTATCTTTATGGTTTAAATTATAATCTACACAGACTTTCATTCACAACAGATGTTTTCCTTTGGTATTTAATGACAAAACAGCATACTGTGTTGCTATAAATTGTATAAAAATGAGAAAATAAAACCCTGACTTTGAACCTAATTTTGAGATTGCTGTTATCAGAACCATAACATATATTTTTAGGGACTTATAATGTAGATAATAGGATCGATATGTACAATTAGTGTCACCTACTGTCAAACACTTAAGTTCCCAATATATCGCAATATGTATCGCAATAACGGGTACCTTAATCACAGTCTATTGCAACACAATACATACTCTTCAAAAAAAGAAACTTGACATGCTGTTTTGGAGTTTATTCACTGAGTGCATATAACTGATTCAAAAACGACATCATTACTCAAATTTCCAAAACATGATTATCCAGAAAGTGTTTGGTAAAACCTCAGAGGGCTATTAAAGCCACTTGGTCAGAGTGTAAAATGTCAGTATCTGGTGTGACCACCATGAGCATCAATAACAGCTTTGCAGCGGCGGCCCATAGAAGAAAGGAGATGCCAAATGCTGTCTTGAGGAATGTTTTGATAGTCTTGCTGAAGTGCTGCGTGCAGGTCTTGTAGTGTCTGAGGTGGCGGATTACGCTGGCGCAAGCGTCGATCAAGAGTTTCCTTTAGATGTTCAGTGGGGAACAAATCAGGTGATCAAGTAGGCAATGGTAACACTTGAATGTTGTTTTGCTGGAGGAAGTCCTGGCAAACACGTGCAAAGTAAGGTCGAGCATTGTCTTGCTGGATATGTCCACCGTTGACGTTAATGAAAAAAACGATGTGACGTTGCAAAATCTCGTCTCCATAGCTAACCCGATTTAAAGCACCTGCCACATGCACAAGTGCTGTCCGGTCATTATGATGGATATCTGCCCATACCATGACACCTCCAACACCAAATCTATCGACCTGCTGTGCACAGTTATCGGCGTAACGGTCGTTCCAATGTCTGTATACACGTGAAAGTCCATCAGCATGTCTGAGAAGACACCGAAACTCATCTGAGAACAAACTTGCCCTCCATCTTGCCCTCGGCCATCTCACTCATTGTCTGCACCATTTTAGACGTTCAGCCTGGTGATGTTGTGTCAAGACCTTACGTCAAACTGGCTTTCTGGTAAAACAATCCGGCTTCCTATAGCAGTTTGCGCACTGCGATCCAGGGCGGCGGTGGTAACTCTAAGTCAACCTGACCTGGGTCTGTCATTTTCACTCCCAGTATTGTTGTATCGGGTCCATAGGTTTGAAATTGTCTGTCTGGACAAACCGAAGTGCCTTGCCACCTCATGCTGCTATGCCCTTCCTTGTAAATGGCCACTGGCATTGTGTCATTGAGGTTCTGTCAGTCTTGCCGTTCTTTTGTCGTCTAAAGTGGCGTAAAGCAATGCATATGGAGTACGGTTGATGTGGCTTTTTCAGGATGCACATGCATTTCATGAAGGGTGTTCACATTTTCTGACATTAAATTACAAAATGAGAAAAGTTCATCATCTACTAATTTCATTCTCAATAATTCTTTCTTTGTGTAGACAATATTGTGGATAAATTTAAACTGGAAGTCAATCAATTTAGTATCTTTTGTACATCTTCTATATTTTCTAAAAATATCTTGCCATGGAATTGCAATATCAAAGATATTTTGCCATTTTTCACATGTTGAAGGTAGGTTTTCAGTAGTTATAAGTTTATCATAGAAATATATGGATCTCTTTGGTGCTGAAAGTAAATCTATCAGTGATGTGTTAAGATAATGATTATGAACAATCAATAAATTCTTTCTTATAGTATCTTTCATGAAGGGTGTTTTTTAGCGATTCAGTGAGTGATGAGTGTAATGTTACGGGGTTTTTTAACATTTTGTCATCAGCAACCATTCCTCCACATGTTGGGATTCAGGATGGATTGATTTGTGTCAAATATGTTCCTAAAAATCAAATTGTTGCTATGTCAAGTTTCCTTTTTTGAAGAGTATATTTGCCATTACACAGCCCTAGTGGATATACCAGATATGGATCTACACACCACAAATGAATTTCACATGTATTATCATCACCCCCTCACTATCATTTGATCAGTTCCTGTAAGTTTTGTCAGAAGAATATTTGCAAACGCTTTGGTGTTAGCCAGGATTGTGAGTTAAGCAGCATAGCTTTGCATGGGTTGTTGCAGTGTATGAAATAGTGGTGTTCCAATTAATTGAAATAATCGAAGATTGGTCGCAGTGACCAAACGACCAAGCAATCGATCACATTTTCTCGTAATCGAACACAAACAATTCTGGAACTGCTGTTTTAGTCTTTAAAACACTTGACGATGGAACATTTTCGAAGTAGTCGGGGCCTGCAAACTTGTTTAATTCTTAGAAAACTCACTTCACTAACTGAAAAGTCATGACTGAATATTTCTTGAAGACTCCAGAAAGTTTATGGTCATGATATATCAGTCATCACTTTAAAGTAGCGAGTTGCATCATCTTATACATATCTGCAATAACAACCTGGATAGGAAAATCTGAAAAATGATGCTAACCAATTTTTTCGATGATTGTTCGTTGGTAATGAAGCAATCATCAATTGTGAGATTTCAACCAATTCCCAACACTAGTATGAAATAAGGCCCGTCCGACCACCCAAGACGGGTTAGATTCAGACGGAAGGCCTAGATTTACAGCTAGCCAGCCCGATGGTCTGGTAAAAATTTAGACGTTATATACATGAGTCACATCTTGGTGTCTGGTCTTGTAAAATCCATTTTGGACTGGTAACATTTTGAAGTTACCAGCCCTGATGTCTGGCTGGAGTTTTGGCTTATTTCATACACTGATTGTTGGTCTGAATTTTGAAATCACTTACTTAGTGCAACAAACATATATCAGGGTATCCTCCACACTTTTTACACAATGTAACTTCAGACTCCCAGAACACTTATCAGCACACTTAGAGGAGTCTGTGCAGAAGAACAAAAATTGTCCATGACCTTGGAGATAGTTCTTTTAATACAGAGCAGGTCCTAATAATTCCTTATTATTACTTTGTTCTTGTTTCACAGGATCCATGGATTCCATGGGAAGAGATGGTCTCCAGTGGATTTAATTTTGAACATTCTGAATCTCCCAGACCTGCCTGAAACCAAATACTGAGGACAAAAAGGATGGAGGGCATTTGTGTGTGTGGAATATGCAAAAACAGTTTTGGAGACATACAAGAAATGTCCAAACACATCGTAACCCACATACGTTTAAAACAGTGCAAGAAATGTGAAGAATTCCTTCCTGATTTAGCTTGTCCCTTACCTCACTCCTGCAGCTGTCATGCACCACGACTGTTGACAGGTGCTTGTGTGGATGGATCTCAGGAGAGACTTGATCCCGGAGGATGTTTGGCAGGTGCTTGTTTAGATGGACCTCAGGATAGATGTGATTCTGGAGGTCTGTTGGCAGGTGCTTGTGAATACGGCCCTCAGAGTAGACATGATTCTGGAGGATTGTTGGCAGATGATTCAGGAGGAGGACCTTTGGATAAGGAAACGAAGATAAAAGTAGCCAGTCAGATTCCAGAATGTACAGGAGCGAGAGACAAGAATCTTGCAGAGAACAGCCAGATGCATGGAATGACTAATGAAAATCAGGATGGTTTAGAAAAGAATGTGGATCAGGATCTGTTGGGATATATCCTAACAGCCCATCATATGAGTGGTGAGTGGTGTAATATGAAGACACAGAAAGAAGGAAGATCTGAACAAACTGTTATGGATGCAGCAAAGAGTGAAAGGAAGACTGAAGGGAACACCTTAAGAGACAGTCAGGTGGTTGATAGGAATGGCATCAACATTCAAAAGAAGTCGTTCAACGAGGGTATGAGTGAAAGTTGGAAGAATGACAATGGAAAGCAAGATAGCGAAGTAGTTGAGGAGGAAGACCATGGAAAAGACGACAGTTTTGCTTCTTCAGATGTCTCAAGTGGTTCTGAGAATGGAAATGAGCAAGAAGTTGAACACGTAGAGGAAGATCAGAAATATTGCACAAATTCCTCTGATTCTGATGACACAAACACTCATGAAAACAAAGATAAATTGGAAGAGGGAAAAGGTGATGATGCTAAATCTGAGGAGGTTCTCAGGTGTCAATTATGTGATAAGGAGTTTGAGAGTTCAAGAGCCCGTAAAGTGCATCAAGCAACACATCCAGGCGGGTTCGTGTCAGATTGTGATTTGTGCGGCAAGCATTTCAAGAATGGGAGCAACTTGGCCAGGCATATGAGGATGCATCGTGGTGAAAAACCGTACAAGTGCAAAGTTTGTGGTAAAAAGTATGCTGATAGGAAAACTGTAACGATACATGAAAGAGTTCATACTGGAGAGCGGCCACATAAGTGTGAGCAATGTGGTAAAGACTTCAGTAATCCGAAGAGTTACAGGTACCACATAAGACAGCATCTTGGTAAGAGGGTAAAGTGTGGAACTTGTGGAAAGACCTTTGCTTCTTCAGCCAACCTGAGTGTGCACGTGAGAACCCATGGTGATCAGCAGTTTCTGTGTGACATATGTGACAAGGGATTCTACCAGTTAGGCAACCTTCGGAGACATCAGAAGACTCATCAACAAGATGGTGAATCTGACACAGAGATGGTGATGAAGATTAACATGCAGGGAGGGAACTTGACAAAATCTACCCACATTCGGAGACGGGCTAAACATCCTCGAGCAGCAGTTAGACAATCTGTTTGTAAAACTGACGGGCTAGATACATATGGTGAAAGTCAAGCTGGCAAGTCACCTGTGTCACGTCTAAAACAGAAATATGCCAAGAGAAAGATTACTAAAAGTGGAGTGAAACCAGAAGAGTGTGTATTGCAGTGTGATTTGTGTAGTCAGGTTTTCAGTGATTATAGCAGCCTGAAGAATCATATCGAACTCCATGTGAGACCCATATCCGTTAGAACTCGCTCATCTTTGAGATCAGGGTCTGCCAGATCTGTAGACTCCGGTCTCAATTGTGACCTGTGTGGGAAGACCGTCTCAACAATGGTGGAGCTGAGGAGGCACATAGCAGGTCATGTTGGCTCAGAAGAGTTAGATGATGGAGATGAGGAAGGAACTGCCTGCCTAGATGGAGATATTAAAAACAGACCACAAGGGATCCATTTCAAATGCTATTTGTGTGAGAGGACTTTTAAACAAAGACATTTACTGAAACGTCATTTTCGGACACATCGAGAAGAAAAGGGTCAGATTGTTTCATGTGATGTATGTGGGAAAGATATCCTAAGCAAAAGATCTCAAAGGCCACATTTATGTGTGGGATGTGACAGTGGCTCCCAGTGTAGGGATACCAATGCTAAAATGGAGACAGGGAATACTGGTAAAGAGACTGATGAGGCCAATGGAGATAATTCAGATAGTGTTGTTAATGTTAGTGCACTTTTTAGTGACGATAGCTCCAAATCAGATCAAACTAATTCTGGAAGAGATACACATTTGTTGGAAAAGGAAAACAGCAAAAGAAAATACAAAAAAGCTCCCAAAAATAAAGTGTGTGAGATCTGTGGTAAAGCCTACAGTTCTTCCAAGAGACTGAAGTTGCATCGACAAGAACATGACACACCTCCAGAGCCAACATTTACCTGTGAGATGTGTGGGAAGTCTTTCAATCGACTCAGTGGTTTGACACGCCACAAAAAGTCTCACGCTTCACCAAGGCTTTTTCCATGTGAGTATTGCGAAAAGAATTTTAGCTGCAAATCAAAGATGGAAATTCATATCAGGACTCACACTGGTGAGCGCCCTTACAAATGTACAGACTGTGACAAGACGTTCGCCGCCAAGTCAGGGTACCATCAACATCGCCAGCTGCATTTGCTTGGAAAAGTTAGTTGTCAGGTGTGTTCCAAGATTCTTGCCAATCAGTCCTACCTTAAACGGCACATGCGTATTCACACTCAAGAGAAGCCATACAGGTGCAAGCTATGTGGTGAAGCCTTCTACATGTATGGGACATTCCGTAACCATCGCCTTGCCCATCAAGGTATACCTCCCAAAGTCTACACCAAAAAGCAACCAGCGACGTGTGAGGTGTGTGGGAAGTATTTTCTCAGTAAGTATTACCTGATTTCTCACATGCGTCTCCACACAGGTGAGAAACCATTCACCTGTGAGGTATGTGGTCGAGGCTTTGTCCAAGGTCATGGGCTTCGACGTCATCTCCAGTTCCATGAAAAGGAAAAGTCTCGCCCAGAGAAGAAATTTCAGTGTCAAGTGTGCCGCAACTTCTACCCTGACCTGAAGAACCTCCAGCGGCACATGATATACCATAACAGAGAGAGGAACTGCAAGTGCCAGCTTTGTGATAAGGCTTACATCAGACCAAGTCACCTTAAGAGACATATGATAGACACTCATAAAATGAATCCAAAGTCTATGCAGAAGCCTCAGACACTTCCACAGCCGTGTGAACCTGCTCCCCCTCTTCTACAACCTCCCCCTATTCAACAGACCCTTCTTCCTTCTCTTCAACACCTCTCAGCTCCATCTCCCCATCCTTCCGCATCTCCATCTGTCTCTGCTCTTCCTCACACAGCAACTGCTCATGTTCCTCCTCTAGCTCCTCCTCAACCTCCTCAAGCCACATCACTTGTTCCTCCAGCAGGTCTTGGTTGTGCCCCTCAACCTGCACCTCTTCATCCGTCTCAGCAGCAGCAGTATCAACAGTCTCCAAATAATCTGCAAATGCACACTTTAGCTCCAGCCATGTTTAGCTATTACTGAGGCCAACTATATTTTAGTTATCAAAGGTGGTGAAAGCAATGAAATTAAACTGCATCAAGATGTTTACCAATCCATATGAAAAACATTAAATTCTTCTCTTTTAAACTGGAGCAGTGATTGAGAAAATGTCATCTCTCTAAAAATGGCCCAGGCCTCCCCAGGATACTCAGAAGTCAGTCCTTAAATGATAAATTTTTCAATAAAATTACATTTCTTCAAATTTACATACATTACTGAGAACAGTTGACAGTTCTTAATAGTTGAAAATTGGAACACTGGATGTGACAATACTTAAAATGAAAAATACTCAAAGGAATATACTTGTACCATGTGATTTAAACAATATTTTATTTCCATTAATGTTTACATTTTTCATAATACACGACATAACAAAATGGAAATAGGATTAGCAAACAGGCCATATGGCCTTTGTCAATGCTTCTCCGCATATAGTTCGTTATGTGTCTTTCTTCTCATACCGTGGATATGTCAGGATCTGAAAATACATGCTACACATTTCTCAACATTTTGGTGAAGGATGTTATGGTGAAGCTGTAGAGTAGGCTCCTTAGAGTCATTTAGGCTGCCTTTATATTATCACTTTGAAGAGGGTTGCTGTCGTCAAAAGCTCCACAATTCACTTTCGAGAGTTGTCTCCCTTGGGCATGCAAGAAGTCTATGAGTATAATTGTGGGTCATGTCCCAGTTCACACTGATTATGTTTCTTGGTTTGTTAGCTCCATACCCATGTTCAAAGGTTTCACCTAAATGGTAAAAGCATCACTTCAGCTTTCCTGTGAGAATTGCATCACTTCAGCTTTCTTGTGAATTGCATCACTTCAGCTTTCTTGTGAGAATTGCATCACTTCAGCTTTCCTGTGAGACATGCAGCTTTCCTGTGAGAATTGCATCACTTCAGCTTTCTTGTGAGAATTGCATCACTTCAGCTTTCTTGTGTGAATTGCATCACTTTAGCTTTCTTGTGAGAATTGCATCATTTCAGCTTTCCTGTGAGACGTGCATCACTTCAGCTTTCCTGTGAGAATTGCATCACTTCAGCTTTCCTGTGAGAATTACATCACTTCAGCTTTCCTGTGAGAATCACTTCAGCTTTCTTGTCAGACGTGCATCACTTCAGCTTTCCTGTGAGACATGCATCACTTCAGCTTTCTTGTGAGACGTGCATCACTTCAGCTTTCCTGTGAGACGTGCATCACTTCAGCTTTCCTGTGAGACGTTCATCACTTCAGCTTTCCTGTGAGACGTGCATCACTTCAGCTTTCCTGTGAGACGTGCATCACTTCAGCTTTCCTGTGAGACGTGCATCACTTCAGCTTTCTTGTGAGACTTCAGCTTTCCTGTGAGACGTGCATCACTTCAGCTTTCCTGTGAGACGTGCATCACTTCAGCTTTCCTTGTGAGATGTGCATCACTTCAGCTTTTCTGTGGGACGTCCATCACTTCAGCTTTCCTGTGATGATCGTTCATTGCACTTCAGCTTTCCTGTGAGACATCACTTCAGCTTTCCTGTGAGAATTGCATCACTTCAGCTTTCCTGTGAGACATCACTTCACCTTTCCTGTGAGCTCACTTCCCTGTGAGACGTGCATCACTTCAGCTTTCATGTGAGACGTGCATCACTTCAGCTTTCCTGTGAGACGTGCATCACTTCAGCTTTCTTGTGAGACGTGCATCACTTCAGCTTTCCTGTGAGACGTGCATCACTTCAGCTTTCCTGTGAGAATTGCATCACTTCAGCTTTCCTGTGAGAATTACATCACTTCAGCTTTCCTGTGAGACAGGCATCCTTTCTTGTGAGACGTGCATCACTTCAGCTTTCCTGTGAGACATGCATCACTTCAGCTTTCCTGTGAGACGTGCATCACTTCAGCTTTCCTGTGAGACGTGCATCACTTCAGCTTTCCTGTGAGACGTGCATCACTTCAGCTTTCCTGTGAGATGTGCATCACTTCAGCTTTCCTGTGAGACGTGCATCACTTCAGCTTTCCTGTGAGACGTGCATCACTTCAGCTTTCTTGTGAGACGTCCATCACTTCAGCTTTCCTGTGAGATGTGCATCACTTCAGCTTTCTTGTGAGACATGCATCACTTCAGCTTTCCTGTGAGACATGCATCACTTCAGCTTTCCTGTGAGAATTGCATCACTTCAGCTTTCCTGTGAGACGTGCATCACTTCACCTTTCCTGTGAGACGTGCATCACTTCAGCTTTCCTGTGAGACGTCCATCACTTCAGCTTTCCTGTGAGACGTTCATCACTTCAGCTTTCCTGTAAGACGTGCATCACTTCAGCTTTCTTGTGAGACGTGCATCACTTCAGCTTTCTTTTGAGATGGGCATCCCCTTAGCTTTTATGTAAGACGTGCATCACTTCAGCTTTCTTGTGAGACGTGCATCACTTCAGCTTTTGTGCGAGACGTGCATCACTTCAGCTTTCCTGTGAGACGGGCATCACTTCAGCTTTCCTGTGAGACGGGCATCACTTTAGCATTCTTCCAATGTGATAGAATTGAAGTACCATTGAAAAAGACATTAATCCCAACTCACTAACTCAAAGGCGTAGGATCATGCCCACGATTACTTCAAACAAACTTTAGTTAATGAACTAAAATTGATAATAAACTCAAACTTAGTAGACAGTTTGAGTTTGGTGGATAGATTACTTAAGTTGTTTGAGCTTTTGTATTTTAAAAATGCAGTTGGGTTAAAAATTCAGCTGTTTCAAATTGTCAAACTCATTTTGAAATTTGAGTAAAAATTTTGATTCGAGAAATTGGGGCCTGGATGCATGAAAACACTTTGAAAAAAATATGATATATGTTTTATTAGACATCATGAACAAAATTATGATCAGGTGAAATATAATTGAATTTCCAAAGGGTTTGGGTTAATATTAACAGTCAAAGTGTTATTTAAACAATTATGAATGATTCAGACAGACAGACAGGTTTATTCAGTAATTTAGGCCCAACGTCCATAATACATACATTTGGCAAAAGTAAATACATACTAAGTATAGCTGAGTATAGTTTAGTATTAATTAATGTTATATTTATACATTCCTTATACAGCGAACTTGTGAAAGATTTTACTCAATGATTTTAAAATATGGATATTGTCCGATGACAACAATCGGATGGAGGTTTCAGTTGTCGGTGGTTGAGTGAGATGAATTGAAGAACAGATCTTTGTTGGGAATATTTTGGACATATTAATAAAATATGGAGTTCATCGTCAATGTAATCAAGGCCAGCAGCATGACAAAAGAGGCGTTCATTATACGGGGTGTATGTATGACGGCCACATTCCACTGCGAATCTGAAGTTACAGCACTGAAACTGAGGTATGATTTTAAGTTGATTTGGTAGCAGTTCACTAGTTAAATATGGTTCGAAGCTGAGAGTTGACTTACATTTGGATGACGAAAATAGTGATGCAAGCCAGGTTGAGTGAAGCAGTCGTAAAATCTCTGTTTAAACATTTCCATGAATGTGGGTATACAGTCTGTGTCTTGAGTTATCCATAAGAAACCAAGTCCATATTGAAATAATATCAACCTAATATGAAAATGATTCTATAATATTTCTTCTGCTATTTGACAGGATCTGTAAACAAAGTGATGTGAAAACCACCTCAAAATGCATGATTTCTAGAAATTAAAATTAAAAAAAATAAACGTTAACAGTAGACATGTCAGATTGATTATATGCCACATTTTACCTGTCTTTCTTCATGCTATTGTGAAGACCCTACATGTTATCAACCCTTGTGATAATCTCCTTCATTTCCTTTCTTTCACCCCTCGATGTAGTAAATATGAATATCATCATAGACTTCTTAGGGACAGTGAGGTAGCCTGGAAGTTCAAGTGTTTGCCCATCCGTGACGACTCAGGTTCGATTCAAGTGTTGAAATGATTTTTTTTATTCTGGGTATCCTACTTTGCAGTATTAATACATATGACATTATCTGCATATGTGCAGTGTTCCATTCATTCATGACTGACCCATAAGGTTCGGGTTAGACTTGTCCTTCAGTAACCCATGCATGTCGTAAGAGGCGACTAACGGGATCGGGTGGTCAGGCTCACTGACTTGCGTCATCTTATCCCAATTGCGTAGATCGATGCTCATGCTGTTGATTACTGGATTGTCTGGTCCACACTTGAATATTTACAGACTGCCGCTGTATATCAGGAATATTGCTGAGTGTGGCATAAAAATATACTCACTCAGTCACTCATTAATGATTGTTGATTAGAATCCCAGATTCACCCTGAATAAGAGGCAACTAGGAGAAGCAGGTGGTCAGACTTTCTGACTTGGTTGATGCATGTCATCAGGTCCCAAGTGTGTAGATTGATGTTCGATGCATGTCATCAGGTCCCAAGTGTGTAGATTGATGTTCACGATGTCAGTCACTGTATATTATCATCCAGTTTTGATTATATAATCAAAACTGGATGACTTGGTCATCATATAACTTGAGCAAAAGGTATCTAAATCGTGGCAGCCATTACTAAACCCTGCCTTTCATCATAAAAGCTGCATTGTGTTTTGGCCTTTGGAACTAAGTTGTGGAATTTCAGCGAAATAAAGCTGAAGTTTAGAGTAAGTTTAAAACTATTTTTTAGTCACAACTAAGAATCTGACATACACAAGGTTGGCATGCCCCAGCTTACATAGTGAAAAGTACAGCAAGAGTTTCCCAGACGGGACTTTGAGGACGAGTATGAGATAAATTCAGTTAACGCATCAAAGTCCTAGACAGCTAGATGAACTGTACTTTTAACATATTTCCAGTTCTATCAATTGATAATGAATCTGTTTTATCCGAAAATATTGCTTAGGTATTGGTTGTTGTTTTCTGTTTAATAGTGTACTCTGCAATATTCATGCTATATAATGCTGGCTTGTTAATACTTGAGTCTGGGCCAGACAATCCAGTGACTGACATCATGAACATTGATCTATGTATTTGGGAAACTATGACCTGTACCAACCAAGTTAGTGAGCCTAACCCCTGATCCTGTTAGTTGCATTTTTCCACAAGTATGGGATTCTGAAGACCCACTCTACACCATGGTTCTATACTGGGTATGTTTGATAGTGAGACAAAACACACTGAAAGATAGAGATTACACCAAGTCTTAGATTTAAAGGCTGAAATATTGATGAATGCAGCATTAAACAAAAAAGCACCAGCACTTTGTTATCATCAAAATGTATTTACAAC